TCCACACTTTCATCTGTCGTGTCTGACCACCTCTGTCTCATGCGTTCACCACCGCATGTTCTACTTTTCCACTCTGAAGAGGGCGAAGCCATTTTTGTGGTAAGGTAATAAATATCATAACACTGCCAACATAATGCTGCACATGCCGTGCCATGATACGACCACTAACCAGTCCTGATAGCTCTAGATAGTCTGCGTTCGGATGCCAGCCACTGACGGCTCCTTTGAGCTGTCGTAGAAATCTCCAAATGTGTCATGTCACCATAACAACAGCATCATGACGCCTATGTGATGCATATGTGTGACCCCTTTCTCTCCTTGTATGTGAAGTCGTCACAAAGGCTTTCATTCGTTTAACATTCTTCCCCCCTCATATCCTCCACAAAACCCCTAACCTGTTCAAACCGGCAGCATTTTCCTAAGCAAACCTGAAGCCCACTCTCACAGCAGCCCACATTTATCATGACAAACAGATTCCACCCATTGCAAGTGCCAGCCCATAATTATTACCATGGAAATAGGGAGTTGAAGAGAGACAGCCTCTCCACAGACGTTTCCGATAATGTGTGCTATTTGGAAATGCTTTTATGGGTGTTTTGAATCTCAGGCAGCCATGAATTAAACAGGAATTCATTCATGACTCACCCGCTCTAGCAGCCTTAATGCTTTCATACATTGTGTAATTTGAATGTGATATTTTTCAATTTTATTTGAGCAGTCTCAGCGGAAGTGTAGCAATGTAAAAAAGTTTTTTTTTCAGCTGTTGAGTTGTGCTTAACTTCCCATTTCCCTGCATAGGTCTGGAGGCCTCCTTTGTAACCACTTCTCATGAGCTGAGCATACCTAATGATGTAAGTTATATTATATGTCCTACACATTTAACATAAAATAATACAATTAACTTGAGGCAAAATGTTTGTTGCAGTTCATGTTAAATTAGATGCTGTTATTGCTGTGTACACTGGCCCCAAAAGTATTTGGACAATTAAAGTCACATTTAAACGGTATGAATAATGTCATTACATTAGATCAAGTGAAAATTATTATTAAGTTAGAAAGACAAATTATGCTAGCATAACCTTTTCTAAGACATATTTTCAAATGCACACTATTGTTCAAAAGTATGGTGTTGAAAACATATTTTAATATTATGTTCAACCAAGGCTGCATTTATCTGATATAGAAGTACAACAAAACAGTAATATTGTGAAATATTATTACAATTGAAAATAACTGTTTGTAATATATTTTAAAATGTAATTTATTACTGTAATGTGAAGCTGAATTTTCAGCATCATTACTCCAGTCTTTAGTGTCTTTGTGCTGTAGTGTTTAGTTTCTTATTATTATCAGTGTTGAAATCAGTTGTGATGTTTAATATTTTTGTGGAAAACTTTTTTTTTTTTTTTTTTAGGATTCCTTGTTGAATAGAAAGTTCAAAAGAATTGCATTTATTTGAAATAGATTTTTTTTAACAATGTACAGTATAAGTCTGTACTGTCACTTTTGTTAATTTAATGCATCCTTGCTGAATGTAAGAATCCTTGCTCATGCATAGCCGACAGAAAACAAGATGCACACTGACTCTTAGTTTGAGGCACTGAGACAGCATTTTATTTACAAAGAACCAAAGGTGCATCAGACAAAAATGTTTACTTGCTTGTGTAGTCATATAATGCTGCACATGCCGTGCCATGATACGACCACTAACCAGTCCTGATAGCTCTAGATAGTCTGCGTTCGGATGCCAGCCACTGACGGCTCCTTTGAGCTGTCGTAGAAATCTCCAAATGTGTCATGTCACCATAACAACAGCATCATGACGCCTATGTGATGCATATGTGTGACCCCTTTCTCTCCTTGTATGTGAAGTCGTCACAAAGGCTTTCATTCGTTTAACATTCTTCCCCCCTCATATCCTCCACAAAACCCCTAACCTGTTCAAACCGGCAGCATTTTCCTAAGCAAACCTGAAGCCCACTCTCACAGCAGCCCACATTTATCATGACAAACAGATTCCACCCATTGCAAGTGCCAGCCCATAATTATTACCATGGAAATAGGGAGTTGAAGAGAGACAGCCTCTCCACAGACGTTTCCGATAATGTGTGCTATTTGGAAATGCTTTTATGGGTGTTTTGAATCTCAGGCAGCCATGAATTAAACAGGAATTCATTCATGACTCACCCGCTCTAGCAGCCTTAATGCTTTCATACATTGTGTAATTTGAATGTGATATTTTTCAATTTTATTTGAGCAGTCTCAGCGGAAGTGTAGCAATGTAAAAAAGTTTTTTTTTCAGCTGTTGAGTTGTGCTTAACTTCCCATTTCCCTGCATAGGTCTGGAGGCCTCCTTTGTAACCACTTCTCATGAGCTGAGCATACCTAATGATGTAAGTTATATTATATGTCCTACACATTTAACATAAAATAATACAATTAACTTGAGGCAAAATGTTTGTTGCAGTTCATGTTAAATTAGATGCTGTTATTGCTGTGTACACTGGCCCCAAAAGTATTTGGACAATTAAAGTCACATTTAAACGGTATGAATAATGTCATTACATTAGATCAAGTGAAAATTATTATTAAGTTAGAAAGACAAATTATGCTAGCATAACCTTTTCTAAGACATATTTTCAAATGCACACTATTGTTCAAAAGTATGGTGTTGAAAACATATTTTAATATTATGTTCAACCAAGGCTGCATTTATCTGATATAGAAAGATTTTTTTTAACAATGTACAGTATAAGTCTGTACTGTCACTTTTGTTAATTTAATGCATCCTTGCTGAATGTAAGAATCCTTGCTCATGCATAGCCGACAGAAAACAAGATGCACACTGACTCTTAGTTTGAGGCACTGAGACAGCATTTTATTTACAAAGAACCAAAGGTGCATCAGACAAAAATGTTTACTTGCTTGTGTAGTCATAATAACATAAAAATGGTCTGAGATGTGAATCCTTCCAAAGACCATCCAACACCAAACAATTAGGTATTCATTTTTTAGGTATTCATTTTTTTGTACTAGAATATTCAATTTGAAACCATGGTTTTGCTTGCCTTATCTTACTTTGAAATACATGCCAATTAGCTTGATATTTTGTATTTATTCCAATGACATTCATACAGTTTTAGGTGTATCTTTTTATGATTTGCTATCATTACACTGACACATTATTACTCTGATCATGGATTAAAGTAATCTGTTATTCAGCTCCCATTTGTAGAATCTATTTAGTAAGATCCAAGGCATGCCATACAGTAGAGAAGAACAACTTCCATGTCCTAGAGGTTCACTCTCAGCCTCCTTAGACTTTTAATGTCCAGATGTTGTTTGCCCCTCACCCTTCTGTCTCTCAGCTCATAGGCTGCATCATTGGCAGACAGGGCAGTAAGATCAATGAGATTCGCCAGATGTCTGGTGCTCAGATCAAAATTGCCGGGGCCACAGACGGTTCGGCAGTACGCCACGTCACCATCACAGGCTCCCCAGCCAACATCAGCGTGGCTCAGTACCTCATCAGTGCGAGGTAAGACCTTTCCCCCTCACATTTTTAAAGCATAGTTCAGCCAAAAATGAAATTCAGTCATCATTTACTCACCCTCATGTTATTCCAAACCCATATGAAGAAGGAAATTAAAGGGAGAATTTTTGAAGAATGTTCATGCAGTGCTTTTCCATTCAGTTCCATACAGTTCATAGTGATCATATGTGTCAAACTCCAAAAAAAGGCAAATTATAAAAGCAGCATAAA